ATTGCAGGCTTAATCTGCATTATTTCAACACAGCTTATTTTTTTTAAAAAAATCTCTTATATTGAAACACAAAAGCTAGCTTGTGTAATCTTGGTTGGATGTATTATACCAGCTTTTATTAAGCCAAAGGACCCCCATACCTTCCATGGCTCCATCCCTTTCCACCTAACCACTGAATAGTTGGTGAACCCTGGCTTTTGTGAAGATTTTTAGAATGAAAAGGCTGAAATGCTTCTCCTAAGGCTTGATTAAGAGCTTTTTGCTAAACTAGGCTGCTTTCATATTTTTATATCATATTTTTGTATTTATTTCACTGCTTACTAGTTGAATCTCGCTCTACATGAGCGTCTCCAAAATGGAATTTTGCCCTGGGGTGAAAATGGGGCTGAACCCCTGCTTGAAGTACCACCAATCTGTTTTCGAAAGGGCTGAGATGTGTAGTATTCAGAATCAAAACCAACATTAGCAATACTGTTGCCTTTGAACTTACATACAGTAATGCTACTTTCTTCGAATCAAACGGACTTACATCCAAATGAATGAGTTGTGGGTTACTTTGCATCCCACTTTACTGTTTGTTATTGCAACAGGCCACAGCATTCCATCCCACAAGCAAATGAATGGATCTAACATGTAAAAGCCTTCCCTAAAACACACCAAGACTAAAACAATCCACATTTAATAGGGTGTTAATTTTTAAACCAAAATTCGGTTGATCACAGTTCAAGCATAGATCAACTACTCCCTCTATAGAAATTACTGCATTACTACATCAGGGAACAATTCTGAAATCCACTGGGAGCCTTCTAATAAAATGCATGTGCTTTTCTGAAGCAAAGCTATTAAGACTGTAGGTGTTCTTCTCTTCCTAAATTACATGTGAAAGCCCTGAGACATAAACAGATAAGCAGACGAACTTTCCAGAGTCTTGATGAACAGTTCTTAGTGAAAACATTATGGATGATATATTACAAAGCAGAAACCATGATCTGCCCTACACAGAAAACAAAAATCTATATTTCATTTGGATACCAAACACATTACCACACAGACTGGCACTGATTTATAATTTGAAGCCAATTGCACAAATAGCTTTATACTCCCACGCTCCATCCGCTGTTTTGGCAACCGTAAAATATTCTAAGAGAGACATTCTTGGTAAACATTTTGGAAATGAAATATGTCCACCTCAAAAAGGAGAACAGAGCAAACACTTTGTCAGGAGATGGGAAAAAAGGAGAACTATAAGTTTTCATACCCAAGAAAAGTACCTTCCCTCCAGTGGGAAGCAAAATAGAAGCTGTCTGGTTTGAAGGTTTAGTGAAACATTAAGGAAACAGCACAATCCTGTGCGTATTTATGCAGAAGTAAGTCCCACTATGTTCAAGTGTGTATATAATTGCAGCCATTACTATGAAATTCACATCAACTAGGCCAAGGAATTTGAAGATACAAGGATGAAATCCATGCTGATTTCTCTTTCTAACAATCTGTGGATCTGTTTTCAAGAGATGAACAGAAGTACTAATAGGCCAATATTTTTACACGAATCTTTCTCCTTCTGTGGTAGCAAGAAGCCCTATAAAGGAAGCTGCTACTTTACTAAACTAATCCTGATATCACTGGCAAACACACTGCCAAAATAAATGGAGAGGTTGACTATGATGTCTGGATTTCTACACCATAGCAGGAGTCCACACAAAATTGCGAATCAGCAACCATAACCATTTCTGGACTCCCAATACAGTATGGAAACTTGACCAACTTTATTTACTTTGGCAGTCATATGTCTCCAAAGGAAATCAGGAGGACTCAAACCATCAAGCTAATAGCCTTTCTTATAGCCCTTCTTCTACTGGCCCTCTCATCACATGAGTTGGGTTTATTGTTTATGAGTCAGTGGTCTATAGACCACAATGTGGCTTGGAAGTCCATGTAAAACTTAGCTGTGCTTTAGTGGGATCTAGACTGGCAAAAGCAGTCTTCCCATCCACCCACCCTTCAGTGCATTCCTGGGTGGAAATTGAATGCAGTAGCCCATGAACAACACTGTATGTTGACAGAGGATCACTGAACTAGCATGAATTCCACCGAGAGAGCTATAGAAGCTCGGTGTTTCAGTCCCATACATGCAAGGCATGACTTGTTCTAATTGGTGATGCAAAGGCGCATTGTTAAGAACAGCATTGCACATTACAATCACACATAATTTGAAGCCTTTCTGAAAAATGTTAACCTGCAACCACACACACGATATCTGCAGGAGTGCCTTCTCCCCTATATGCCCTCCCACCCCTTGAGATCTGAGTCAGAGGCCCTCCTTTGGGAGCAGTCCTTGAAAGAGATCAGGAGGATGGCTACCCGGAGGAGGGCCTTCTCTGCAGTGGCGCCCCAACAGTGGAACATGCTCTCCAGAGAGGTTTGCCTGGTGCCAACGCTTCTTTCCTTTCAGCGTCAGACGAAAACCTTTTTATTCTCCCAATATTTTAATTGCTACTTTGTTTTAATTGATGGTTTTATATTTAACATCGGATCTTATTTCTATTTCAATTCTGTTTTATAAATGGTGTTGTAAACCGTCCTGAGACGTCTGTGAAGGGCCAGTATAGAAAAGTTTTGAATAAATAAAATGTATCTGTAGATTTCTTTGTACATCTATAATCTCATAGATTAGCTACCACCTGGGAAGGAAAAACTCCCAGCCCAGCAGGCCACCGTTTAGGTCTCTCCCTAAGGAGCCTTTCACACCTGACACCAGGCAGATGCTATGACACCCAACCAACATGGCCAGTGCTGAGAGCTGCAGACCAAAGCATCTAGCAGGACCCAGGAAGGTGAGGCAGGTGCAGACACTGGGTGGAAGTTGGATGTCTGAGTTTTAATCTTCCTCTTTGGAAACTATTTTAATCCCCTTGGCTAGAAAACATAAATTTTAGCTTGAATGCTATGCCCCCAAGTCCTCATGACAACAGGATCTGCCATGTAAGTTGAACACCTCAAGCCACTAATCATGGCTTTGCACCAGAACGACAAAGCATCTTTTACACCCTGCACTCCTGTCTGTCCCCAAGCAGAGAGAGGGAACTTCTATGAGAATGTGGCGCCATTAAATTCAATGGGAATAGCACTGCATAACACTTCTATGCATACAGTCCCATATTTGAAGGATAACGGCAGGGGAAAGACTGAGGTTAACAACTAGTGCGGGAAAAGTACTTCATCAATATGGTTCCCTTCAAATATTTTAAACTACACCTTCCATAATCCCTGAGCATTGGCCAAGTGAAGAGTAGTAGGCCAATATATTTAGAAGGCACCAGATTGGGGAAGATTATGTATACATTCAGAGCTAACTCAGTGTTCCAGGCATTTAATGCCCTATTAGACTGAGGATGATGCTGTTTAAAAGCCAGATCCTGAAGATGAAACTCAAATACTTTGGCCACCTAATGAGAAGGAAGGACTCACTGGAGAAGACCCTGATGCTGGGAACAATTGACGGCAAAAGGAGAAGGGGACGGCGGAGGATGAGGTAGATAGATGGAGTCACTGAAGCAGTCGGTGTGAGCTTAAGTGGACTTCGGGGGATGGTGGAGGACAGGAAGACCTGGAGGAGTGTTGTCCATGGGGTCAGGATGGGTCTGGCACGACTTTGCGACTAAACAACAACAAGAAGACGACTGAGGATGGTGGGTCTTTTATATCATAAAAAGGTATTTTATACCTTTTTATTAACAGCTGCAGCTTTTAAATTTTGTAAAGTAATGTGTTGGTGGCAAGTGAATGCCATAAGCAATCTCCAGACAACGGAGCTGCCCTGTGTGTGAAGAGTAAGAATATGAAATGGAACTTTCAACTCTGAAAGCTCAGCAGATGGGCTAAGGACATAATATCTGTTATCTCTTTAAAAGCCACAGAAAGAAAAATGAAAGATTGCATGTAGCCATTAGTAAAGTAATACAGAGTGACCACCCAAGTGTGCAATTACTCCCAAGACAACAAAAATCATGTGTTATCTGATATGAGGTCTGCAGAGTTGACATGGGAAAATTGTATAAGGAGAACAAAACACTCAATTCAAATAACTGAATGTAGGACTACTGTTCATAGGCCTTTTTAAAAATTTTATATGAAAAAACAAAAAAAATTGGGTTGGATCCAAAGGTTTCCCTCTGTAGGCAAAAAACACATTCAGTTCACAGAAAGGCTATTTTATATCTTTAACTAGACCATCACACAAGGAAAGTATTCCTAAGGACAAAGGTATTTCTTTGCCTAAGCAAAACAAACACTGTCATAAATAAGCAGAAGGATAAGAACTCCTGTGGAACCTACAAATTACAGAACATTCATATAATTTCATGAACATCTAACGGCTGGGTCACTTTAATGATTTCATCAGTCAGAAATCCAGTTTGTTTTATAAAAAACAAGGCAGTATTTGCCTGAAGGTGCACATACTCACGTACACCTGGGGTGCTGGGGAAACCACAGTGGATCCAAAGGAGTTCAGATTTCTTTCAATCCAATCTGCAGACTCTGTGGCAAGCTGGTTTTTTCCAGTTCCCATGGATGCTGCAGCTGGTTGTTGTTGTTGTTTTCATTTTGGGGGTGGGACATGTGCACTATATCACATTAGCTGATGCATTACTTAATGGGGGTAGTACATTAGTCCTAGTATGTTTTTATTTAAATAAAAAAAAATTCAACCTAATGCAAATTAGTGCCAAGTACAGTGACACTCTGGTAAAAACGTCCAATCCTGTCAATGAAGAGGTGATAGAAAAAAGATGCCTGAAAACCCACACAACACGGATGGACTGGATTTGGCATCTTCTGCTCATGTTGTGCACAAGAACAGCTGGCTGGACAAATGCCACAATTTGCCATGCTAATCGGCCACTGAATTGGAATATGTTAGCATCTTAGGCTGTGCACTTCAAAATAAGAAAAGTCTACTAAGCCAATAATCCATGGCTATTCATGTTGGAAAAGCTTACCTTAATAACCGATTTGTGCAATGTCATGATAGCTTCTTCAATTTCAGATAAAGCCTGTGAAGTAAATAAATAATCGTCACTTTAGGAAAAAGGCAAGTGATTGTTGAAGTCCAAGTGCCAAAAAGTTCTCAGAAGAGAGGGAATATTCTTTCTGCACATGTATGCACATCAAGTGGCTTCTCTTTACCTAATGAGCGCGCACTCGCTCGCGTGCGCGCGCTCTCTCTCTCTCTCTCTCTCTCACACACACACACACAGTTAAGCATAGTTTGGAGAAAGTACACACAGAACATGTTCGTTGTTGCCCTTTTGTCTCTTTAATGCTGGAGCCTGAAGTTGTCCCGTGAAGGTGACTGATGGGAGATTTGAAAGAGAAAGGAAGCGCCTTTCACGCAGCACAGAATGTAGTGAGGGCTGCCAACATGGATGGCTTCAAATCACATGAAGGCTCAGGTTATCAGTGGCTACTAGTCCAAATAGAGAACCAGTGTGACACAGTGGTGAGAATGCAAGACTGGGACTCAGGAGATCTGGGTTCTAGTCCTCACTCATCCATGAACCTCACTGGGTGACTCTGGGTTGGTCTCAGACTCCCAGCTTAACCTACCTCACAGGGTTGTTGTGAGAAAAAAATGGAGAGGAGGAAACGGTTCCTTGAAAAGCAGGGGGAGCAGGATATGACTATACACAATAAATAAATAAATGAGTTATAACCAACCCCTGCTACTCGAGCCAGTTCTTCTGCTGGAGAACATGAGCAAGAGGCACTATTGCCTTTTTTTTAAGCTTCTAAACCTCCCCATAACTGAAGCTCTTGGGCAACTGATAATCAGCCTCTCCATAAGCTTCCCATGGGCAGTTGCTTTGCCACTGTGTGAACACAATGCCGGATGCCATGAGCAGGCCTTTCTCTCCCTCTTTCCCTCACCTGCAGACTCAGGTGAAATTTTCCAAAAGTACCATTCTTTCCTTAAAATGTGACAGGTCACAGAACAGTGAACTCAAAGGAGCGTTCTCCATGAGATGTGTGGGAAGCATCTGCCCATGTGAAGAGCTGAATCCAAACGAAAACTTCCCGGCCCTTTCAGAAAAGCTTCTGACTCCACCCTCCAGGTGGCTCCTGATGCCTGAGGGCCAGAAGGTGGGAATGTAATCTCATAAAAAGATCCATCTGCGAAGAAAGAAAAAAGGCACCTGGATAGACCTATGTTCCCATCTATGAGGAAAAGTATACCAGGTGTATGTATCTGCTCCCTTTTGGGAAGCAAAGAAAACTGGGAAGGTTAGATTTAAATAGCCCCCCTCTTAGTGCTTCTAGGATCATATTTGGACCCCCTTCTGCAGAAGAAAAGTAAAAACAAAGCGCTGGCAAACACTGCATGCTTCACCTGGTTTGACCAAACCATTTGAGCAGACTCCACTAAAAGATACTTTTTCTGAAGCAGTAGGACAGAGTTATCTGTATTCATATGTGCAAGTTACCAGGGGACCTAAGTCATGGCTGGGTATGTTCAGACCAGCGCTAGAGTACTGACATTGCACCCTGTTATTTCTAATTTAACTCACATATCTGGCCCATGTTAAAAATAATTCCGCACCTCTCATCCTCTTAGAGGCAATACCTGCTTCAATGAAAAAGCATCATCTATCATTTTATACTGAGAATTGCTCTGAGAAGCACTCTAAGTAATGTAATGTCATTATTTAAGTAAATACACAATGTCATAAATACTATTTGTTCATGTGCTGTTTTGATGAACAAAGCCCATTCTCATAGTAGGGCACAGGTTATAGGAGTGAATTTATAGTCCTGCCCTAACATAAACACATAGGAGAAGAAAAATGGCTAGTTCTGAACAACTCTGTCCCCATAAGAAAACACAAAGGCCGATGTAGCCATCTGCTTCATCCAGCTTTGTTCTTCAGGTCCCACAACTAAGGGATAGCTAAGGAATCTGTTTTTTTCTAAACTGCCTTTCAGAAATTAATCCCAGTCAACGTACTTGCACAACATAAATGTTAGGTCATGTAAGCAAGTGGCCTTCTCTCCCCACCTGTAAATGATGGGATCACGAGCCAGCTTGCTACACAGGAAAATTTCCTTCCTGAACCAAAATATTGCAACAAGTGCAAGCAAGCCCTGACAAAAACCACCCAAAAGATCATTCCAAAATATATATATTTTGCTGCCAAAACAAGTTCCTCACCCAAACATGAAAAATGCTTTAGAGTTTGGGCTCAGAACTGTCCTGTTGCCCTGCTGAGTTTTGCTTCCTTTAAGGAACAGGACAAGTAATGAATCTGAGCTGCTCCAGCCATCTAAACATTTCCAGCTGCCGTGCCATGCCATCTTCAAAATGCAAAGCTCACTGGTGTATCTCATTTGTATGCATTTTAGGACTCCTGTTTGTGGCCTTGGTTTTCAGTAAATTCTAACTCTTGCAGATTGCAATCCTAAGTGCAATTAGGAGGCCCTACTGAACTCTGTGGGACTTATTTCTAAGTAGACATGCTTAGGATTCTGCAGGAAAAAACAAGGCACCAGTTTCCTGAACCTGATGATGCAGAAACACTGCCCAGAACTAAGAATGATTGTAAGGAAAGCTCAACCAATTTACTTGCACACCATTTTAATGCCAATCCTATGCTTGTTTACTTGAAAGCAAATCCCATTCACATTCTTTATCTTGAAATATAACATGGATCATAAGCAACCATCCTTTGAAACAGCTTTCCCCAACTGGGTGCCTTCCAGATGTGTTGGGTACTACAACTCCCATCATCCCCAGCCAGCATAGCCAGCAGCTATGTTGTACAAGCAGCATTCTTTCCTGTGTGAGAGAGGAAGAATGCATTTACCACCAGCAGTGTACGTTAAGTCCTTGTTTTAAAATGCATCCATATTTAAAAACTGCTGCCCAGAAGGATTTCTTTAAACAATGCAATCCTATGCATGTCCTGGTGAACTCAAGAGCAGTGCGTAGAGGATCGAAGCCTTAAAGGATCAGTGGCCAGCACAATCCTACGCAGTCACAGGATCTTGCAGATTCTCAGCTATGAGGCTAGAAAATCACTCTCCCTTGCAGAAGGGGATCTGCATTTGGTTCCCACCTGCAGCCCACAGCAAACACAGAAAGAACTGCAGTGGCTGTTCCTCTGAGGTTATAAGAGCAGCTTTGAGAGAACGGGTTTAGGGGGCACTCCAGGAAGGGTAGGGCCTCAGCCTCCTTCCCTGCCACTCCCAAGAGGGAGAGGACCAAGGAGGTGTCCATCGCCTCCATGCCCCTCCCACTTTGCATAGGATGCCAGAATCCTCTGAATTCTGTGGGCTTAGGGCACCCCCACAGGGCTGCACCCCAAAACCTGCAGTCCTAAAAATAATAAGCTATGCTCAGTGTTAAGATTTCTGCTTGGGCTTTTTACCTAAAGAACACCTTGCATATCTATCCTCCCAAGTATTTTCTTCTATCTGGTCTTCTCAGATCATCCTTGCCCAGAGGTCATCTGCCATCATCATTCCAAGCATTCGTTAACACCTAAATCTAAAATTATAACAGTAGCCTAATCAAAAATTGTCTGTACTGGAGAATGCTGAGCAATTTCCCAGTTTGGGTTTCAGCAGAATTGTCCCAGTTGCTTGTGCAATTATTGCAGCCTCTTATCTGTGCTGGAACTGAAAAAGTAAGAAATCATCCACACCTTGCACTGGACATTTCAGAATCTCTTTAATCTGTAAATAATGTGATTTACAAATGAAAACATGTTAATTCATAAACCAATGAAGCAAAACAGCACTAGAAAAATTCATTTCGCTAAAATTAGTGGATAGGACTGAGGAATTTGAATCTATAAGGGCTACCATCTTAAACAAGGAAAAAGATGCAGAGATCTTTGTACCTGGTATGTCCTGGTATCAGGACTTCAGCAGGGTAATTTACAGGCCACAATGAACTTGCATGCAGGCCCACAGAGCTAGGAGCTAAACAGCATGCCTATAAAGCTGATGCCATTAGAAAGATCTGGTGCAAATCTAAGTGCATCAAAGAGCAGAGCAGGAACAACAAGTTCTTCAAAAAAGCAGTTCCAGTGAAACTGTCAATTAAAGCTCTCCTTGGAGACAAATGTTGTCAGAAGTGCCTTCAAGCAGACGCTTCATTCCTAATGTCATCTTAGCCAAATGGGCCACTGGCCCTGGGCAAGCAGCACCTCCTCCTTCATGGGACAGGAGAGCAAGTCATGCCAGTGCTGCTCTCATGAAGTCCAGAGTTCCCACTGTGGGGCATTGCCTGTGGTGAGGACACCTGCCTCCCCCCATACCCATGTATTACATAGTCCAATTTCTTCCTGGATGTCTCCAGTGTGGGAGAGCCCACCACCTCTCCTGGTAGCTGGTTCCTCTGCTGTATTGCTCTGACAGTGAGAAAACTTTAAATCTGGGTCGTTGCAACTTGAACTGATTATTCTGTGTCCCACATTCTGGGATCAGCAAGCAGAGATCTTGACCTTCCTCTTTGTGACAGCCTCTAAGGTTCTTATAGAGGGATATCATGTGCCCCCTCAGTCTTCCCTTCTCTGGGCTGAACATACACAGTTCTCTCCGTTTCTTCTCATAGGAATATTTTGATAAAAGCACAAATCTAATTGCAAATTCCAGAAGTACATGAAAACATTCTTACTTGCCAACAGGATAGAGACTGCAGAGATCTTGATTCAGATTCTCAGCTCAGGCACAGATAACCCTGGAGAAATCACAATGTAAAATGGAAATTAGTACAAAGATGTTGAGAGACAATTACAGCAATGACAACAATGTTGTATTTATATCCTACCCTTTTTGCCTCTTGCAAGGATTCCTAGATAGCTTACACAGTCCTTCTCCACTTTTATTCCTCACAACAATAACCCTGCAGGGTAGGTTGGGCTGAGAGTTTTTGACTGGCCCAAAGTTACCAAATTCATTCCATGGCTGAGCAGGGACTAGAACTTGGATCGCCTGAGTCCAGTCCAACTCTTTGACCACTGCACCACACTGGCTTTCAAGTTTGATGGTAATACTGTGTATGTTTTGAGATAATCTTATGGAAATTACTAGCATGAACTATAATGCAAAGACTTCAATGAGGCCATCTTCCTGTGAAGCCTGTTTACCAACCCACCATTTTCAGGAGTAAAATTTGTGCTAGGGCATAACTTGGGCAGATAACTTGAGCCAGGCTTCATTCAGCCATACTCTGGTTTCTATCACAGCAAATACCGTAGCATTAGGAAATTGAGGTAGATTAGTGGTTTTACAGGCACAGTGGCAGCTAAGCCATATTGCATCAGACTTTGGAGCAATTCCTTTGAGCCCTGACCATCAAGGAGCATTCCACATTCTCTGCACAATACTAGCTTCACAAGCTGATAACAAATAGGCCAAGTTTGCATGAAGGTGGTTAATCCAAGTCTGAGCTTCATATCTTCAGAGCAACAGAATGTAGGTGAAACACTTTAAATAAGTCTAAGAAGCAGTAGAGGGGTAGTGTTCTAATTTGGCATGGACACACATGACTGCATAATTTAGTTACAGGTTGTTAATTGTGAATAATTCAGAGCTCACAACTCAACAGCAAACCATGGGTTCTCTTCCTGGGTTGTTTGCTGTTAATAACCCATAGTTAAAGCATGCTGCAGGGTTCATATGTAACAACAACCCATGATTCAACACCAACTCATAGTCAACCCGTACTGTATTTGTAAACCAGATGGATGGTGGGAAAGATCACAAGAGGCATTAGAGGCATCACAAAAGAAGGCCCTTCTTGCAGCTGTGCATCTGACTTGGTGCCAGGCATTCAAGTGGGCATCCACCAGGAACTGAGTTCACGCAAACATTGCACAAGCAGCCCTAGCTTTGTCTGTGTACGTGATTGTGTTGCACAAGCTGCGGAAGAAGGCTGCTAGTTGCACAACTGGAGTTCCACAAGTGTTCATGGACTTGTGCTCATCTTGGCTCACTTCTTAAACTAGGACTGAGCACTAGAAGCAGCCCAACAAACAGAGGAGAGCCAGATCCTGAGAGGATCATCAGAATCCTAATGCTTGATCCAGAATATGAATGATGGTTTCCAAACATGCCAGGACATGAAGCCATGGTTTAAAGTTGGCTTCTGATGCCTGGCTTGCTTGGAAGATCTTAGCCGTACTTCCAGGTTCAGGAGGGTATGATTAATTGCAGCTTGTTTTGCTGCTCACACAAATGGAGGTGCAAAGTGGCTGCATCAGGGGGCCTGCAGCTTATGCATATCTCATTCTATTAAACCGAGACGTGATAGTCTGAATATGACCATTAAGCAAGTCCTTCCATTCTTCTACTTTCCATGCTAGCATGGCTTCAAAAACCCGCCTGTCTGTGCTGTCCTCATAACGCAACAGCGACATCTAGTGCTCAACAAGATAATTACTACAGAGGAACGGCGAGTTACATAAACCAGGCGATTTGCTCTTTATGCTCCATTTGTTCTCTACCGCCCTTGTGCCCACAGATGTCTGTTGAATCCTTTCCCCCTTCCTATCGAATGCCTTTGCGTTTGCTCTTGCTCTACTCCTGCCCTTGAGGCATCAATTTTATGGTTTCTTTAAAAGCTAGCTTATCTATTCCAGTTTGCATCCATTATTTCTTATAGCCCCAAGATCTTCTTACGCCACCCTGTAAAATAGCTTAGAATTATTATCCCCATATTGCAGCCTATACAGAGAATGAGAAAGGGCTTGCCACGGGAGGCCTCACTCCTAGCGAATTCATGACGGAGATTAGATTCGTACCAGGACTGGGGAGGACACTTCCAGACTTATGGCTCACAGCACTAGGCGGCTTCAGAGTGAGACTTCTCTCAAAAGGATCCTCCTACTCATGCTGCAAGCCTAGCACTGCCAGAAGCTTACAAACCTAGATGGTGGCCACAGAGGAATTGCTTCCCTCTCCCCATCCCCACAGCGACTGTTTAAGTGGGAGGCATCAAAAGTATTAGATGACGACCTTCCCAATGTCTCCGATAGGTTGGAATGTCAGCCGGCAACATTCCTGCCACAAGCATCCCAGGATTCTAAAGTTTCCTGGCCTTTGTACAATGGACACATTCGGCTCCTTCCTCTCTTTAGCGCTGCATTTCTTGCTGCTGTACTGATAAGGCTTTACTTCTGGCGGAGAATGTTGCATTTCTCTCTGTATTCATTAACCAGGGAGGGCATCACTCTAAGTTGAACAAGCTGCATTTAATACTTGACACTGTAAGTATGTGTGATTATAAGGTGTACAGAAGTATATATGTGTGAACTACTGTGGGAATACTTATTAAAGAACTCTATACAGATTCATTCATTCATTTTTTTAAAATACACTTCACAGGTCTGATGCTTTTCACACATTACCTTCTCCTGATCCTTACAACTATCCTGTAAAGTAGATCAGTATTATCCTCATACTAAAGAAACACTTTGCTAAAGCCACAGAGTGAGTTCATGGTAAAGGTGTAATTTGAACAATGGGCTTGCAGGTTGGTAGTTCAGGCTGTGCTGCAAAAGCTTTTTCACAATGTTTCCACCATTTTCCCCACCTCTGTAGGCCAATGTAGCCTTCTTTTGTGATGCCTCTAATGCCTCTTGTGATCTTTCCCACCATCCATCTGGTTTACAAATACAGTACGGGTTGACTATGAGTTGGTGTTGAATCATGGGTTGTTGTTACATATGAACCCTGCAGCATGCTTTAACTATGGGTTATTAACAGCAAACAACCTAGGAAGAGAACCCATGGTTTGCTGTTGAGTTGTGAACTCTGGATTATTCATGATTAACAACCTGTAACTAAATTATGCAGTCACGTGTGTCCATGCCAAATTAGAACACTACCCCACTACTGCTTCTTAGACTTATTAAAAAAAACCTGAGGGGATGAATGGAAAACACCCTTTACTGCAGAATTTGCATGTATTTTGTAGGACACTCATGAGGCCTGAAGCTGACCTCAGTTTTCCAAGTCTGGATAACCCAAGGGTACAGTGGCACCCCTCTCAAAAGCCAAGAAGCTACAAAAGAGGGCATTTGGTGGCACCCCCCCTCAAAAAATTAAAAACAAGCTGCAGTCTCCACAAAATGGCTTGCAGTGGCTGCAGGGAGAAAGGGAAGCCTCTTCTCGCTGTCTCTATGTGTTCTTTTGGCACCTGGGGCACGCTGCAAAAGTGTTCATTCAATATCCCCTTGGCTAGAGTGACAAGCCTTCCCACCACTCTTACCAAGGCGCACTTCAGGTTTTGGATTGACTATGGCTTATTTTGTTGTCTGGTTTTGAGAGGCAGTGTGGTGCAGTGGTTAAGAGTGCAGGACTGGAACTCAAGCAATCTGGTTCTAATCCCTGCTCAGCCATGGAGCCAACTGGGTTACTTTGGGCCAGTCACAGACTCTCAGCCCAACCTACCTCAGGGTGTTCTGAGAATAAAACTGAGAGCAGCAACAGGAGGAGAATGGTGTAAAACACTTTGAGTTCTTTGTAAGAAAATGGCGGTATATAAATCGAATAAATAAGCCAAGTTGGTTCAATCAAACCTACCACAAGCCATGGCTAACCAGGATGGCTTTGTGGAAAGAATGCTGGGTTCACATGACATGCCAATCCACCATGGTTTATAAATCACCGTCACTTGTTGTGTCATGGAAACCCAGTCAATGAGTACTGATGTCAGAAACCTTTGCTAATTCACTCCAAAGCATCTGGATATCTACCAGTAGATTCCACCCTTTCCTGTACCCACTCGCACTGTGTTCATTTTAACTTATTCTATGGCAGCCTGCCCTGTCCGAATTCCTGCCACTTCCTCAGAGTATCAGTTGTGATATTAAAAGTGGGCAGGGTAGGAAAGAGCTCCTTGCAGAAAACAAGCTCCTTCCAGAATATGAATGTACTTCTTTATCCTACTATTGAACTCATTAACTGACACTAGACCTCTTAGGTAGTCATAAACAAAGATGTACAAAAAATGAACAAAAAAGTTAAAAACAAACTTATATGGGGCAGAAAATCCCCCAGATAATCCAACCATGGCTGACTATACTCTCTGATCTGGTTTGCACATCAGTTCGTATGTTGTTCAACCAGGATCTCGCAGCGACAAACAACCTGCGTCCCGCATGCTGTTTTAATCGCTATGAACAAGCAAGAAAGCGTCTCCCCCCACCTTGTTCCTGGGTTGTTTTGTGATGTGCACACCCAGAAACAGATGGGTGATGTGTTGACCCAACAAGAGACCTTCAATATTTTTTAAAAAACTAGCATTTGTAGCTTCACAAGTTACGAAGCAGCTAAGGGTTGTTAACTGAAAGAAGAAATGAGGCATGCCTGGAAGATACTGCACGGGCCGTTCCCTAGCAATGCCCTGATTAAATAACGTGGGATTGCAGCATGTTGTGTGCGTAGTCTCAGGGGCTACAGATGCTGGCTGTTTGGAGGGAAAAACGGGATAAGCAAGAATGAAAGGAATATCTTGGAAGCCAACAAAGCTGCAACATTTTGCAAATAAATACATTTCATCCTGAAACTGCTCGCTAATACTACGAATATTTAGGTAGAAAAAATGCGGCAGCTACCAGGATGTTCCAGGGAGTACGGCTAGCTGGGGCATGCTGGGAATTGTAGGACTTTTCTTCTCCTGCCTTAATCGGCACAGAATTGCGTTCTTTATGTCTTTGGATAGGCAGCCCTGGCGGCGGGGAGAGGAGGGAAAACGAGCATTTTCAAAGTGCAGGCTTCCCCGGCGTACTGCAGGCACCGCCCGCTTCCCCACAAGTCTCTTTCCCGCAAACTGCATACTTTGTGACAGGCATAGCCTGAAATGCTCAAGGCGCGGGAGTCCGTGTGTATTTGCTTTTTGAGAGACCCTAGTAGGAGTGAAAGGCTGCAAAGGAAGTTCCTGTGTGTGCCTTTATCGGTGTGATTAAAACAAAACAAAACAAAACCCCTAGACCCGCCTCCGTCAAGCCGGTGCCCGAGCTTTCAAAATGCTTCGGAGTGCACGTCCCAGCGCCGCTGAGTGCTGGCTGTGCTGACTGGGGCTGATAGAAACTGCAGTTCCCAAATCCCAAGGACACCGGGTTGCTCTGCAAAGAAGAGTGGCGTTGGGGGCACAGCGGTGGAAGGAATAACAAAGCCCGGCGCTAACGCAGAAGAAATCAAGGCCCGCTTTCCCCGCTCCCCCCACCCCCGCTCTTCCCCATTCACTCACGGCCCGCAGAGGCTGGAAACTCCGGCAGGATCACGACCCCTCCGCTCCAGTGCGGGCTTGCGCAGCCCTAGAAGGACGAGGAGGTGGGTGGCAGGGAGAAGAGCGGCGAAAGCAGCGCACCAGGGCCGCCTTGGTCCCGCCGGGGTTGTGTTGGGGGGTCCCCCTGCAACTCCTCTTTGAGGGCGACCGAGCGTGAGCGGGCTGCACCAAGGTAAGCCACGATTTCTTGCCCACTCCCGCCTTAGCCCAGGCAGCCTCTCTCAGGGATGTTTGGGCAGAAAAGAAAAGAAGGCCTACAACTCCCATGCCCCAGCAATGCAACGCTGGGGCATGCTGGGAGTTGTAGGATTTTGTTTCCTGGCCAAACATGCGTAGGATTGTCTTCTCGCTGTATTAAAGAATACTATTTTCCCATCCAGGAACACTGAATTTTGCTTCTGACAGGGAAGGTGGTGAGGTCGCACACCCATGCAACGATAGTCTAGATCTTAATTTCTCTCTCTCTATCACACACACAAACACACACCCCATGTGCCCCTCGGGCCAAGACTCCCCAATGGCCATAAAACCCACTTAGCGACTTTGCGCCTCCTATTTGCGCCTCATTCGAAATGGCGGCCGGTTTAGAAACCCTCTAGGAAGGAAGGACATGCCAATGGAGATCTTTGGCAGGCGCAGTGTCCTCGCTCCATTCAAAGATGCCGACTGCTACTTCCAACGAAAAACATCCGGGCGCTTTGACTGGACCCGTGCCGCTTGATGGGAGGCAAGAATGATGCTCTCGATCTCCATCGCCTGCGGCCATCGCCCCTCAGTTTCATTCAAAAGAGGCAAATAGCTCTTTTCTTATGCAAAGCCAGACATAATAAAGTCAATGGCTCCAGGCATGTTCCACAGTGCAATCCTCTACAGGCCGAGTAGGAAGTAAATCCCACTGCTTTCCACGGGTTTACTCCCAGATAAGTGTGCACTGAATGGCAGCTTAACGGCTTAGAGCGCTTCGGCTATTGAGCGATAGAAAAAAATTAAGAAATACATAGAAATGAACAGTCTGATCTATGTACGTTTACCCAAAAATGTCGTTATGCAAGTGTGCATCGGATTGCGCCTCAATGTTGTCAGAAAATCCCAGAATTTCAATTCGTGAGGAAGAAATAAAACTCGGGTTCGTGGGAAAGATCAAGTGTCCAGACCATCTGTGGCTTTATTGTTTGGCCCAGGTTCCCCGCAGGTCCGTATTCACGATACCAGGCAGGCAGAGGTAAACTCGCTGCAAAGCTTCAAGACAACTACAGGGTATTTTATACCCCGTACAGGGCAATTGATGACAGAATGCAGACATTACAATAAGATTCTGAGGTCATCACATACAGAACAGATAAAGGAATGTCAGTCAATCATACAGAGACAATGAGATTACAATATTTCTAAGTCCCGTGTATTGACACTTTAGTTGAGTAACTTAAACCCATCTCCAGGTCTGCTTAGACATGTAAATTCAAGCTACTGAGAAACTGTTCATGAACTCATAAGCTTATCTAGACTGAGACCCTAAGTAATGCACCATTCTGAATGACCAGGGCACATGAAGCCCTCTGGACTATCAAAAGATACTTCCTGGTAAACTGTGAATTCCAATGCCATTTTAAACAGTGACTTAGCTTGGTTTGAGGAGTAGTACAGGATTGATTCCACAATGCAAAAGCACACAGAAGCAATGTTTTTCTGACAAGATTTATCCAAATTTTCCCAACAATGTCTACGTCAAATGATGGTTGACAGATTCTAAATCGCACTTGGCCTGGCTGAAGGTTGATCTTATGCATGTCTACTTGGTAGTATGTCCTAGTGAATCAAAGTGGACTTGATTCACGTAAACATTTATAGAATTGTAGTCTGAGCAGTGAGTACTGGAGTACCCGATTACTGTACTAGTCTCGCCATCTAACTTGAGTAGCACCCATCTTCATGCAACCCAAGCCTATCCATATTTACTAAAGTGTAACGGCCACAATGTTATTTGGGGCATTTTCATTTATGGAGCAGTGCAAATTTCTGAGAAGTACTTGGGAACCAAACTAAGGAGACAAATTCAAAGCGAGCAAGAGCAAATTCAAAGCAAGCAAATGTAAAAGAGCATTTGGAAATAATTTAGAGCATTTGATTTACCGTATTTAAAATATTCAAGACTGCCTTCCAGGGCAGATGAGGGCCCTTTCCTATGCAGGAAAACGTCCTAGCATGCCCCAGCCAGTATAGATACATTCATACTGGCCAGGGGATGCTGCAAGTTTTTCATCATCGGTCTAATTTGCATAAGATTTCACCCTTGCATTAATTAAGTCCCAAGCGGTAAAAAAGGCAGACACTTCCCCATCCCGAAGAATAACAAAACAGCAGAGATTAATAAAATTGCCATCTTACGAGTAAATAAAAGAACCATCTCGATCTTTATTTTTTAAAGCAATTACTCAAACAATTCAGTTTATTTGAAAGAGCTTTAGCAGGCCTTGGTCTGGAAAGATAAACAAGTAGCAGTGTCTAAAACAAATGCTGGAGCACAAATGAGCAGGTAACTCGCTGCCCCAGGATCTCTTCTCCGCTTGAGATAAGGAGAGGGGAAGAGATGCCCGATAGAGAAGCCTTAGTAGTTTTAAAGCGAAATGCCATGCCAGTTTAGAGGGCGAACCAACTGGGGCACGCTGGGAATTGTAGGCCTTTTTATTCTGCCCTCAAAACGGGCATAGCAGTACACTTCAGCATGTGAAAAAGCTTTTCCTTCCGAGCTCGCGTGGCTTTTGAGTTAGAGCGCATACTACAGTTCCCTGCATGCATAGGGAAACTCATCGTGTCCGTGTTGCGTCCTGGGATTTGTAGTTTCAGTCTCTTGATTCCGCTTCCGGGTAGAACAGGGGACTCGAAAACCTTGGAGACGGTGTGCAGCTGTGGTCCCGTCCCTGGCGCCTTTGCCAGCGTACCCCGCGAGAGAGAAAGGTACTGGGCTAGAGTGAGGCATACAATCCGCAGGGGAAGGAGTGAAGTTGTTGACATTTGCCAAGTAGAGGACAGGAGGAGCTTGGCCCATCTACTCTCACCATCATCACCATAACTTATGGGTCTCTTTGCAAAATCCTCAGTGTTGGAGAGGAGCAAGTAGGAAGCAACCCAGTTCATTCTGGCGTGAAAATGCATACATTCGTGCAGGTATTTGCAAGCACTTCCTCTTCCTCCACCTCCTTCCACCTTTTTTGAGGCCAGTGGCATTTTACTTGGGATTTCTTCCCTATTTCCCAACCTTATTTTAAAAAATCTAAGCGGCAAGCGTTTACACAGTTACTTGGGAGTAAGTCCCGTTGAGCTCACGTCTGTGTTGGCTTGCATAGGATTGCACTGTTCGGTGTCTGAAGGAAGCCCGAGGTTCACAGACGTTGGGGCTTGGTGGAAAGTTCTCAGGCTGCCAGTAGCTTCACTGTTATTATTGAGCCTTCAGTTCGATCTAAGCTTTTGAGGTTTCTGATCTGCTACATCCGTCTTGATGGTGCATGGCGGAGGCGGGGGGTGGGTACCATCCGATGGACTAATGGTCAGGAAGGGCTTTCCCTTTCCTAGTTGCTGCTGCTTTAGAAGGCAACTGCTTGCTGTGTCTTTTGGTTGCTTAAGGATACAGAGTATATGCAGTGTGAATGTTTAATGTTGCTCACTGAGTTATTATGCAGTTCTAATCCGTGCTGGACAGCTTTTTTTTTTTTTTTTAAGAACTACCCTCTCCTGGTTCTCCACTATTTTTTGATGTTTTTGTTTTCTCACATATGGCATTCATATCCCATCTGTGTTCAGAGAAGCTTGGGAAGGCCTAAGTGGTTTTCTTTCTCCTCTCATGAATGTTTACTTTGACATTTCAGCAGAGAGAGATTTGCTGAATGTCACCTAACGAGCTTCATGAACACCGATCTTGATAATTGGAGTCCTGTGCTTTGTAGTCCACACTGGCTGTCAGGACATTAGAATCATGGAATCTCAATTTAGTCATAAGTACGCACCATTTGGTGCATGAGAAGTGTTTCTTTACTTGTCATATGAAGCCTGTGTTTCTCCAAAGTGATTACTACAACGAAAGAGATTTCTGGCCTGTTTTTCAGGGTAAAAAACAGCATATAGCGTATTTCAACATATTCTAAAATACAAATTAATCAAACCATAAAAAACAACAAAAATATACAATTCATAAATCTTTAAAGTAACAAATTAGGGAGCAGCAGATAACATGTCAGTGGAAAACATGTTTGATAACTGAAACTTTTCAAAATACAGACTTCCTAGCCCTCCTAAACACCAGCAAAGAAGGGCACAGATGCTGTTCCTGAGGGATGGCATTCCAAATCTGTAGGGCCAACACAGAAAAGGCCCTGGCCTGGGTCTCTGCCAGTCTCACAGCTCTCATTGTGTTCAGAAAGCCAGGTCTCAGGTACAATTCTTAATGAATGGGCAGGCTCATACAGAAATGTGGGGCTGTGCTGTATCTCTTCAGATGGCAGGTAGGAAAACTGCATGATCAAACTGTTCCACCATATATATTTATATGTATATATTTAAAAACCTACCATTTCAGAGGGAGGACTAGGCTACAACCAATTCTTGGCCATAATTTTTTTCCAGAAATGTATTTGGTATGGAGTCATGGTTGACTCCACTTGCAGCCTGAAGTTTCTTCATATTATTGAGCACTAGGCATGGCTAAGAGTATAACAGCTGAATAATTTTCTCTAAGTGATCTTGAGTAGATTCCCACATTTTGGAACTGGCTATCATGAGCATTTGTTAAGATCTGAAAATCTTTTGTGTGACAAAAGACATGACTCTCCCAATCCAAATACAGAAGTGAAAGTGAGTTCATGTTAATGACTGTCCTAGCCCTGTTTTTCATAATTTATTGACAGTCTTTCCTCAGTTACTAGTTGTGGTAGGTTTTTTTTTTAAATGCTTGGTTTCTGTCCTGCACCAAAAACAAAAAAACCCCACAAATTTAAACAATAGAATCCTTTTTTTTCCTCATGTGGTCATTCTTGTATTTCCTGAACAAAAGGGTACATAGTAATTGCTTGCTGTAACAATGG